TTGCTGTCATATCCATTCGAATGCATTAAGCATAATTCTCACTTCAACTAACTTGTTCCCCACCAATAACAAAATTCTACTGCCCTTGCATTTGGCTTTAGGGATTTTAAATAATACTTAGATATTCTTATCTTACATACCTCACTTGGTACTTGGGGTGGTAGTAATAGGTGGTTTCCCTGAGTTCATTACTATAAGTGCTTAATAAATGTTAATTGATTGATGAGTATTGCCACTTTTATTAGAGATTACAAACCTTCTATACTTTTTCTTCCTGTTCAATTCTTGTTTTCTTCTTTGCATAAATTTTCTATAGAGGATGCACTTCCTTCTTTTCATAACTTTCAGTAACTCAGGAAAACTCATGTGGCACATATTTCCTCTATACAGGATGTCCCAAAAATCTTAGTTGAGGTAAAAGCTATTAAAGGCTAGTTGGACAATTTTTCTCCCTGCCTAAATCTTCAGTGCCAATTCTACCTCTTCGTTTAGTATATTAAATGCTAGCATCCAAATGGGTTGTCACCAGTGACGAAAGTTGTTTATTAAGGAAGAAGAAAAGGGGCCATGTTGGAAGCAACACCATTTTGAGAAGCTTGAGAGATCAAATCTCAAGATATCTGAAAGAGAAGTTCCTGAATCTTTGCTGTAGTATCATGCAGATGGTATTACCTCCAAAAAAAGGCAATTAAGTAGACAATATGGGATCACAGACATTGAGGTGTAGGAGGGGCCTTAGAGGTTATCTAGCCTAATCCTTTCATTCTGCAGATAAAAAACTTGGGCTTTGTCATGTGACAGTCCTTTGGCATAAGAGATGTCCTCTTGGGAGGACAGAGGTTCTCATCTTGACCCTTGCTTTCTAGAACTGGGCTCATAGTACCCAAGTCACCACCCCAGCTTTCACTGTCTGAGGACCAGGTTTATGTCTAAGGAAAGGCCCATGAACCAGCCAGAGATGACAGGAAAAATAAGCTTCTTAATGAGTTTGTGTGCTGTGAATAATATATTATAACAATGGGGACAAGTTATTCAATTTTTATTGACAAATTATAGAGAAGTGTGGGAGAGGAGGGGGGAAGGGAAGAGAGAAGAAGGGGACCTTATATACAAGTCAGAAATATACACATTAAAATAAACTCACATTGGAAATCATAGGGCACAGGTCCATTCAAGTGGTCTATTCAGGTGGGAAGACTTGGTCCCATGGGAGCAGCATCCTCCTGGGGCAGGGACGGAGATATACTCCCAGGGAGGGGAGATATATTTTAAAGTATCCTTTTGCAGGTAGGTAGTGCAATGGATAGAATGCTGGTCCTGGAGTGAGGAAGACTCATCTTCCTGAATTCAAATCTGTCCTCAGACACTTACTAACTGTGTGACCCTGGGCAAGTCACTTTATCCTGTTTGATTTAGTTCCTAATCTGTAAAGTGAGTTGGAGGAAGAAATGTCAAACTACTCCAGTATCTTTGCCATGAAAACTCCAAATGTGATTATGAAGAGGCAGACATGATTGAAAATGATTGAACAACAATAACAACACCCTTCTGAAAGTGGGATATTTCAATCCTGATCTTGGAGACTTCCTGGAGATGGCCAATTTGCATGTCAAAGTTCAGGACACATCTGAGATTTCTGAGGTACACAGGTGCAGGACAACACTCTAAGAATATCGTTATTTGGTTGTTTTGGTCATGTCCAACTCTTTGTGACACCATTTAGGGTTTTCTTGGCAAAGATACTGGAGTGGTTAGTCTTTTCCCAGGTCCTAAGATGTTCTTTGTGCTTCTCTTATGAGTGTGCCAAGGCTACGTGTATATGTGTGAGATAATTCAACTTAATATTTCTAAAGTGATATTTCTAAATCACAGGTGTGGCCAGGTCACTTCTGCTGAGGAAGCTTCAGTGTCTCCCTCAGTGGCCTCTAGAATCAAATATGCCTTTTTTGCTTGGCATTTAAAGCCTTCCACAATCTGACTCCAATCTGTCTTTGCAAATTGTTTTCACATTGTACACTCATACACTCTATATTACACCCAAACTGACCTATTTGCTATTCCTCATATTTCCCCATATTCAAGGCTCCATCTCTAGCTTTTCTTATTCCTTTTCTTTTTTTACAGGATGTCTTCTTTTCCTGTAATGTATTCCTTTTAGAATCTCTAGCTTCCTTGATAAGCTCAATTCAAGTATCACCTCAGTTGTTAGTGTCCCCCAAATGACTTTCTATTTGTTTTGTATATATTCTGTACTTATATGCATCTGGAGACTTAGTTCCTTAATATATATGTCCTCCTCCCCTACTCCCACAGGAGAATGTAAGCTCTTGGAGGAAGTGGACTACTTCTTTTTAGCTATTATTAGCTTTGAACACCAGCATTTTATTGATAGTAGGCACTTAACAAATTTTGTTGAATGAATGAGTGTACAAGGCAAGATGGCAGACAGTCAACATATATACACTGAAGAATAAAACTAAGATACCTTGGACTAGAGAAGCCCAAGGGGTATACCCAGAAGAAGAGAGTAACTCTAGATAGAGTCTCAGGGAAAAGAAGATCCTGGTCACAAGAACTACAGGAATACCTTGAGAAAAAAGGAACCAGTAGATATAAAGTGGAACAACTGGGAAAGAAAGAATGTCAAGACAATTAATAGCTTAGAACAGACTATGACAAAGCTAGCACAGGAATTGAACTCCCTGAAAATTATAATGAGCCAAAAAGAAAACAACTTTATGAGACAATAATTATTAAAAATTAAAAGATTTAAAAAAAAAGAAAATGTAAGATGTGTGCTTGTTTGTGTGCATAAAATTTTTAAAAAACTGACTTGGAAAATAGGTCAAGAGATAATTTAAGAATCATCAGACTACCTGAAAATTATGATGAAAAAATATTTGCATACCATATTATAAGAAATGAGAAATGAAAGCTACACACATCATGTAGAACTAGAGGGCAAAATGAAAACAGAAGGAATCCACTCATAATCTCCCAAAAGAAACCCTCAAATAAAAGCTCCCAGGAATATGATAGTCAAAATATGAATTTTCTAGGTCAAGGAAAACTACTGTAAGTAGCTAAAAAAAAAAATTCAAGTACCAAGGAGCCACAGTCAAGATCACACAAGATTTGGCAGCTGCCACTTGAAGAAAAGGAGAGTTTGAAATACAATATACCAAAGTGCACAAGATGAAGGCTTACAAACAGGAACAGTTTTCTGGTAATTGAGCATAATCCTATGTTTGGGGGAAGGGGACAAGAGGGAATAGACCTTTAATGAAATGGAGGGTTTACAATCATTCCTTACGAAAAGGCTTAGAAATGAGTAAATATTTTAAAATGGAAACATAAGAGACAAGATTAATAAATTACAATCTAGTATGAGGAAAAGAAACAAATGTCTTCTTAGATCCCTAATGTCTTCAAGGGTCATAGAGAAAGTTAGAAAAGAAAGGCAGAGGGAATAGAGGTGGATTTATTCTGTTTTTGTGGTCTAAGGAGAAGAAAGAAATGAAATGAGAAGGATGGGAGCTATACTGGGGAAGAAAGGAGGAGGAAAGAGAAGGAAATTGCTATTTCACATAATAGAAATTCATGAGATTTTTAAAAAAACGACCACATACAAACATGGAGGAAGGAGTAGGGGAACAGACTTCCCACAAAGTTCAGTTTCATCTGAATTGGACAAAGGAATGTTGAATATATACATGCAAGCACACACACACACACACACAAACACACACATAAAATGAGGTAGATTTCTTAAACTCAACAGAGGAATAGGCAGGGACAAGGAGAGGGTAGAAAGTGTTTTAAGAGGGTGAGCAGGATAGTTGATGGAACAGTCATAAGCAAAACAAAATCCAGAAGGGGAGCATGAGAAAGGATTAAAAGTAAAAGAAAAAACAAAAACCTGTGAGTGGATGTGGGACAAAGAGAAGAGGAGCAATGGAACAGAAATAGATGACATTTATCAATTATAAGTTTTAAGCAAACTTCTTTTACTATCTCCTTTTTTTTTTGCAAAGGGGAGATGGGGGAGAAAGAAAAAAGTATAGGGACAAGATAAAAAGAAATATACCATTAACAATCACAATCATGAATGTGAATGGAGTCAGTTCACCAATAAAATGGAAGAGAATTACAGAATGGATTAGAGAGTAGAATCCAACAACATACTGTTTATTAGAATCATACTTGAAATATAAAGATTCACAAAGAGTTAAAATGTAGGGATGTAACAAATCTATTATGCTTCAGGTAAACTCCAAAAGGTATAGGTAGCAAACAAACAAGATTATAGTAAAAACAGACATGATAGAAAGAGATAAGCAAGGAGACTACATTATGCTTAAAGGCATAATGAATAAATGTGAATACTAAACAAATATGTACTAAACTGCATAGTATATAACAGCATCATAAAGGAAAAGTTAATTTAATTGCAGAGACAAATAGATAATAAAACTGTAATAGTGAAAGACTTCCATGTACCCTTTTCAGATCTGGACAAATCTAACAAAAATTATAAACAAGGAAGAAGTCAAGGACCTGAATAGAACTTTAGAAAAAATGGAAATGATATGTATCTGGCTGGTATTGAGTGGGAATAGAAAGAAGTTGGTATATTTCTTAGCTGTGCATGATACTTTTACAAAAATATGACCATGTATTGAGGCATAAAAACCTCACAAATATTGAAGACCAGAAATAGTAAACATTCATCACAGGCCACAATGCAATAAAAATATATTCAACAAAGAGTCTTTGAAGAAAATTAAAGATTAAATAATTTAATCCTAAAAAAAAATTGGTGAGACAAACAACAAATCATAGAAAGAATAGAAAAATTCATCAAATAAAATACAACTATAAATATGCAATATTTTGTTAGTCTGAGGGAAAATTCATGGTCCAGAAATTCTCAAAAATGAACATTTTTAAGGCAAAAGTAATCTGATTGCTAATTTGATGAAAATCTCTTGTGATTTCAGGCAGCTTTGGCTGGAGGCACCACCATGATCATTGATTTCGTCATGCCTCAGAAAGGCTGCTCCCTTATTGAGGCCTTTGACATGTGGAGAGGCTGGGCAGATCCCAAAGTCTGCTGTGACTATTCACTTCATGTCGCAGTTACATGGTGGAGTGACCAGGTAAAGGGATAAGGATTAGTCAGTCAGGAGACATTTATCAAGTACCTGTTTGGCAAAATATTTTGTTCCAGGCACTGTGCTAAATGTTGGGGATACAAATATGAAAAACAAAGACAGTCTCTGTCCTTGAGGAGCTTACAATCTAATGGGAAAGATAGCACCCACAAGGAAGCTGAAAGGGGGGAGGGCATGGAGGCATAATAGAGAAGTCCAAAGTATTGTAGCCAGGTGGGAAATGAAGAGATGGCTGGCCTGAGCGTTTTCCTTAAATGGAGGCTTTGGGAGGAGCTCTTCACTCTGCCTTCCAATCAGAGGGTTCCCAAGGGCAGAGAGTGTGATGAGGTATAAGTATTAAGGCTGATTTGGTCTTGTAGTATGGCAAAGTTCCTGGGGGCATGGTGGAGAAGTCCAAAGGAGAGTAGCTGGGTAAGAAATGAATAGTTAAAGTAGAATTGTATGTGGGAATTTGATAGTAACAATTTTGGGGTACATTTACATGTTAAATAGCTATGGGGCATATTTACACATAAAGAACTGTATGGGGAAGAAGCTTCCTTCTGGAGCCCAAATGGGGTATTGCCATTGAATGCCCCAGTATGGTTTTGGTTGAGTCACTAGATTATAAAGTTATATTGTAATTATATTATAATTATATATAAATATATAAAAATTATATTATAATTATATACATATAATTATAAAATCTCTGATGGCAAGAATATGTTCTCTATTATATTTCCTTTATCAATAATTTAATTTTATTAATTAACTGTTGGCTTTTGATGACCCACAGGAAAATGGTTATACATGACAACTCATCAAATATTTGGCAGCTCTCTGACCCACTAAAGCTCTTCTGCAGGCTAATCATTTCCCTTCCCTTCACAAAATCTTCCTATGGCTTGATTTTGAGGTGCTTCACCATCTTAGTTGCTCACCTCTGGATGTTTGCCAGATTATCAATAACCTTCCTAAAATTAATGCCCAGAATTGAATATTATAGGCCAAGTAGAACAGAATATGACAGGATTATCACGTCCTGTTTACTATGCCTCTCTTAAACCAGCCTAGGATAAAACTAGTTTTGTTTTTGTTTGGTTTTTATTGCTGTCATACCACATGATTGGCTAACTCACTAAGCTCCCTAGATCTTTTTCAGATATGAATGAATATCTAGCCAAACTTCCCTCATCTTCTGTTTATAAAGATGATTTTTTGAACCCAAGTATAAGACTTTTCATTTATCACTATGAAATTCCATCTTACTAAATTTGTGTTAATGTTTCATCCTTCAAGTTTTTTTTTTGGGGGGGGGGGATCCTATCTTCTTTGTCATCCAGATTGTTAGCTATCCGTCTTAGCTTTGTGTCATCTACAATTCTGATAAGCATCACACCTATTTCTTTAGCCAAATCATCAATAAAAATATCAAAGAACACAAGGCCAGGCATAGGGCCCTGAGTCACTTTACTAGAGACCTTTAAATTATTTATGACTACTTCTTGGGTCCAGCCATTTAATCAGTTTTGCATCCATCTGACTGTAGCCTAGGCAACTAGATGGCACAGTAGAGTGCTGGGCCTGGAGTCAGGAAGACTCATCTTTGTAAATTCAAATCTGCTCTCAGATACTTACAAGCTGTGTGACCCTGGACAAGCCACTTAAGCCTGTTTGCCTCAGTTTTCTCACCTGTATAATGAACTATAGAAGGAAATGGCAAACCACTCTGGCATCTTTGCCAAGAAAGCCCCAAACAGGGTCAGGAAGAGTCAGACATGACTGAACAACAACAAAGTGTAGCCTGTATCTCTCCATCTTTTCTACTAGAAAAACATATGAAACTTTGTCAAATGCTTTGACAAAATCTAGGTAAAAACTATTTCTAGAATTCCTTTAATCTACCAGCCCAGGAACTCCACCCATTAAAAAAATCAAGTTAGTCTGGTAGGACCTGTTCTGGATTCTGAAGCCGTATTGAATTTTAATGATCACTACTTCTCTTTTTAGATTTGTTTCTGGAATTCTTCATCTATTTCCTCTTTCTATCCAAATGCTCCATTTTCATACACCAATGAAAATGTTGCTTCTGTTCCTACCCTTGTTGCTCTTCATACAAATGATCTCCAGCCTAATGCCTACCCATCCCTTCCAGTTTTGGCATTTCCTTGCATATACAAGGCTACTCTGTTCTTGTATCCCCTCCCCACAATTCTTTTATTAACCTTCCTCCTTCTGAATAAGATATGTCTTTTGAGGGCCACATTCTAGTTGTGGGTTTCATTCTACCAAGACTAGTGATACCGCTGAGATCACATTTTGCCTCCTTGAGTTCAGGTCTTCAGCTTGCTTGTCTCTGTGCTTTATGAATTGGTGCAAAAACATTCATATTTTCCTTCAAAAACAGAGGACAAATCCATGGATTTTTTTTAAACCATCCCTTTTAGATTTTTGTCTCTTGTGAATTTCTGGATGCCTTTGCTGCTATTTTTTCCTTTCTGCATTGTTTCCACTCTCTAGGGTATCTAGCTGGATAGATACATACGGGCAATTTTCTCCCTCCCCCTTCCTTTCTAATTTAAGACTCTTTGGATGAGATTTGCAAGAATTCAGGCACATACATTTTTACCAGCCTTTGTTACATGTACTCCATCTTTGATCAGGAGTCCTTCATTCCTATATTTCATTTTCAAGGTTTGAGAATACTTTTGTTTCTATAATTTAAATGCCATTTACATAAACTGTCTTCTTAATGAGCTATTCATTTACCAAATCTTTGTTTTTCATTTGGGTTCCTTGCCATTGATTAGTGGCAGTGAAGAAAAGACCCCTAAAATCTCCTGGATTTTTTTCTTTTGTTTTGTTTTCTTGTTGTTGTTCAAGACTTCACAATCATTATCAGTGTTTTTAGAGACAGTGTGGAGTAGTGGATAGAACACTGGACTCACACTTAGTAGCTGTGTGATCCTAGGCAAGTCACTTAACTTCTCTGTTCCTCATATGCAAAATAAGATGGAATTGGAATTAATAGCTTCTCAGATCCCTCTCAGTGCTAAGTCTGCAATCTTTTTACCGTTGTGCTTTTTGTCTTTGTGAATTGCTAGAAAAAGGTAATAGACATCTGGTTTGATAGGCTCCTGTGATCATAGATATAGAGCTGGAAGAAGCCTCAGGCCTTACCTAGACCAGCCCTCTGATTTTACAGATGAAGAAATGAAGGCCCAGGGAGGTCAAGTAGCTTACCTTAGGTTACATAGATAATAGGACGTAGAGGCAGGATTCAATCCCAGGTTGTCTTGCTTAGGAGCCAGTGTTATTTCCACTGTACCTAACGGCCCTCAAGTGTCTGGAATGTTCTCTGTCACCTCTTAGAGACATTTACCAGCAAGAAAGCAAACCTCTTCATTGCTGTTATCTGATCCACAAATAGTTGCCTCACTTCAGCAATGAGTCACCAGGCATCACTTAATAATATTATAAACAAACAACAACAATAATGACAATTAAGTTACATCCCATACACTTTACATATATTATTTCATTTGAGCCTCTGGGGTTATGATTAACTCCATTTTACAGATAAGGAAATGGAGGCTAGGAAAGCCTAGTTGACTTGCCAGGGTCACACAGCTAGAAAGTGTCTGAGGCCTTTAGTGAACGATCTCCCACCTAACAGCCCCTCCAGATCCACACCATGATTTCTTGGAGAAAAACTAGCTACTTCCTCCAAAGATGGTCTAGCTCCTAGCTTTTCGGGAAGAGTCTCCTATCTGTGTCTTACCTCCAATGTTCAGTGGTTCTTCCATTTATCTTTCCCATTTTTTTCTTACTTCATACAGAGGCCAAGATCCCCCCGTACCTCTCCATATCCATTTTATTCTCTTTGCCCCCCCATTTAGCCTTTTTCAGTTTATTTTTAAAGGAGTAGTTCATTTTCATACATACCACAGAACTCATCACCTTCTTTTCTAGAAGTCCTTCTCTGTCTCCTTCAGCTTGAGTACAAATCCTCCTTCTTCTCTTTAGGTTCTTTACCTCTTTCCTTTATAGGTCTCAAGTATGAATCCAGGCTGAGCCACTTATTATCTGTGACCTTGGATAAATCATCTAACCTCTCTGGGTGTCGGTTTCCTCATCTGTAAAATGAGAGGTTAGACTAGATGACCTCTAAGGTCCTTTGCGGATCTAAATCCATGATTCTATATGGGAAGAGGAGAGGATGAGAAATATCCAAGACCAGGGTTGGGGAACCTGCAGCCTCAAGGCCATATGTGGGTCTTCTTTCCCACCAGGCATAGCTGCCCATAATTTTTAATTCAGGGATCCCCAAAAATCTGTCAACTTGAACCTGTTTCAAGAATTTGTAAATACCCTTTAAAACTACCTGCTTCTTTCTCTTTAATGACCAGTGACATAGTGAATTTCCATTTACAAATGAATAAATGTAAAAACATTTATTAAGTGCTCACTGTGTGCCAGGCACTGTGCCAAATGCTAGGGAATACAAATGTGAAAAGCTAGGCGGACCTGGCTTCCAACCTTAAGGAGATTTTATTTCTAAGAGGGAAATGCAGCACATATAATGGAGTAAAGGCCAAAGAGAGGTGTTTTGGTGAGGGAAATGAAAAGGATTATAAATTGACTCCATAGAGCAAGTATTTGACATGTCCTTTTGAAGAGTGGTAGGGCAGCTAGGTGGTGCAGTGGATAGAGTACCAAGCCTGGAGTCAGGAAGACTCATCTTCCTTAGTTCAAATCTGGCCTCAGACACTTACTTGCTGTGTGACCCTGGGCAAGTCACTTAATCTTATTTACCTCAGTTCCTCATCTATAAAATGAGCTGGAGAAGGAAATGGCAAACCACTGCAGTATCTTTGCTAAGAAAACTCCAAATGGGGTCATGAAGAGTTGGGCATGATTAAAAACAACTGAACAACATTATCAATAAGGCTGATTTGATTATTGTTCCCAGATCCAAGAAAAATAGAGTAGGGGAAAGAGGGCAGGAAAAGGGATAGATTTGCAAGGGTATGGTATGAAGTGACTGGATTGGGCTAGAAATGACGAAGACGCTCCAGTTAAGACCCAGGGCCTATCCTCTTCTACCATATACTCTCTTGGAAATTGAACAATTCTTCAATTTCATTGTTTCCCATTTGTGAAACTGCTTCAATCAATTCCAGTAGTCTTGGCCTCCCTGAGAAAGCGTACCCCTCCCCCCCATCTTCACCCCCTACTCCTCTTCCTCAGGTGCTCTGGCTCAGCAAGCATTTTAAAAATAGCACCCACTCAATAGATTTTAAACACTGCAAGAAAACCAGGCAATGTAAAATAGGTTGTGCTTGAGCACAGATTATGTAAGATTCTGTCATTCTTGCTTCCCAAGGCAGAAAATCAAGGTCTTGATTAAGTGAGATCTCATATCACCTAGTCACAAAATAAGTAGCGATTATCTCTTTTCTGCACCAAATTTGGATCATTTCATGTTCTACTGATTCAAATTCCCTGCACAATTTTAGTAGAATGCAATTCTGTTGTCGTGTCTTTAAAACTATTGTGCAGGCTTTTTGTGTTCTAGTAGATAGCAATTATATATTGCCTTCAAGACTCTTTCTCAGTAGTGGGGAAGCCCTTGATTTCAATTATTTATTTATTTTTTTAAAAAAAGAGGTGATCCAATATGAGGCCTCTAGTATGTTGTCCACTTTGAATTTCTGAAGGTGGTTGAACAACTTGCTAGTCAAAAGCTAAAGCAGAAAATGGATTGTTTTATTTGTCTTTGAAATTTTTCTCTGTTGCTTGGAAAGGTGCCCTAATACCGATCAGATACCCTAATGCTGATCTTGGTGATCAAGGACCCTTTACCAGGGACCCCTTCCCAGGGAATTTTGTCAGAAGGCAGGGTATAGACCAAGTGACCTCAGACATTTCTGTCCAACTCTATTTCTTTGATTATCTCTCACCAAAGTATTGTGAGCATTCATGACAGCACATGAAATACATAATATATAATGTGGGCCCTGAGGGAAAGGATGCAGGACATTTCCATGTATTTTGTGAGATGCTTAATAAATGATACATGTGGAGGAAAGGTACTCTATCCATAAAAGATATTGATGTAATGTTATGAAATGAAGATATAGCCATTTGACCTTATAAATAGATTTTAAATAAATTTTCAGCCTGTAAAATATTCCCTAGTCCTCCTCTCATTGATTAATGTTGCTGCAGTTCTGAAGGCAATGAACATTACAGTTGCTTAAAAGCATGGGGCAGAATTTCAATTTTTAAAAATCTTACCCAAAAGAGTCATACTGACTCTAAACGTTTATGGTCAAATATCTTAGGGTCATAGATTAAGAACTAAAAGAAACCTTAGAGATCATCTACTCCAATCCCTTCATTTTACAGATGTGGAAACTGAAGTTCAGATTAAAATATCACTTAGACAAAAGGTTTAGTGACTTGTCCAAGGTTCACACAAGAATTAAATAGCAGGGTTAACGAAGAATCAGGGTTTCCTGACTCGAAACCAAACTTTTTTTTTCCCTAGTGTTCCAGTTTATATAAATATTCGTACATTAAATTAACTTTTATCAAGGCTTTTAACTGTTTTGACAAATTATATTGCTGATTTGGAACTGGACTGCTTACATCTATTCAAATAATAAATAGATAAAGAGTTTTAGGCACTGAAAGACAAAAACTGGCCAAAGGTCAGGGCAAAAAAGGCCTGAGCAGAAGGCTGGTAGAAATTCAAGAGTGGAAGCCAGGAGGCCACTCAGTGGAATGTAAATTTACCTAGATGGTTTCACTTTCAGTATGTGTTGTTAGGAACCAAATTATCTTTAGGATCAAAGGGAAGACCAAAAGGAGAGAGAAGAGAAATAGAGTCCTTTATCTTAAAAAGCAACACTTGGATTATACTGGATATTTGCAAGGAATATACCAACTGACAGCTAGCTGGTAGGATGATCATAGGAACACAGCATCATAGAACTCAAGATAAGAAGGCTAGAAAATGAACCTAAGATAAACAGAGGAGTATAATAAAGACAACAGATTAAACTCAAGGTGCACACAACCAAGGCATTGCAAATTGTGGTCAACAATAATTGAGGTGGGATTATGAGGGATGATTGAATGACATGAGAAAAAAATAGGGGCAGCTCAGTGCCTGAAGGCATTATGGGGGTGGGGTAAGGAGTGGAGTGGAATATGGCTTTATGAATACATTACCTTGTATTCAGGTACTAGGGAGTCCATAGACAGTGTCCCAGAGGCACGTTTAAATTATCCACTCTGACACTGTCACTATGATATTTAAATATCACTTCGTATTACCTGGCAACATCGATTGGCTCTTTCTATCTTCCTTTCGGTTTAAGATCTGAATCCAAATGTTTACCAAATGTTTACTTGTATCCATATGTGCCTCCCAGTATATAGCATTACTTAGAACTAAGACCAAACATTTCGGTAAGAAGAATTTACAAATCTTTTAAGTTACAAGGGGACAGAGGGATAATTTTTGACCTTAGGGAGGATCTTGTGGATAATTGCATTCCTTTCATTTTTCATAAGGGGCAGCATCTTATAGTGGAAAGAAAGCTAGCCTTGGAACCAGGAAGACCTGGGTTTAAGTCCCACTTCTGATGCGTACTGGCTGTGTGACCCTGGGCAAGTCATTTAGCCTCTTAAAGCTCTAGGCAACTCTCTAAGACTCTAAATTGCAAAGAAAGTGCCACCTTGACTTGGTAGAGAGAATTTCCTCTTTGGAGATTTCCCTATATAATGAAATCACTGGTCCAGCTCCTATCCTTCTCCTTGTTTTTGATACCCTCTTTTGGGGAGCAATGACTATTATTTGGGTTCAAGAACAGTTCTGTTTATTCCCTTTCAGGTCAAAGAAGAAATGAGAATTCTAACACAAAATAAGGGTGTTAACTCTTTCAAGATGTTTATGGCCTATAAAGACCTGTACATGATTAGAGACCAAGAGATGTATGCAGCATTTTCTCAGTGCAAGGAAATGGGAGCGATTGCTCAAGTCCATGCTGAGAATGGAGACTTGATTGCTGAGGTGAGTGCACGTGCATTTCCAGTCTTCAGACGTGAAAGCAGCGGCAGCTGCAAGGGAAGACAAGTGGCCCATTCGGTGCCAAAACAGAAAGCTTAAATTAGTATACTCATTTAACGCTTCAGGTGAGAAGGACATCCAGAACACAGTTCTCTGTGCCTTAACTGGAAATGTGATTTGTGGGCATTGGTCTCCTTTTCCTTCTGTTTATTTAGAGCATCTTGAAGTCAAAACGAATACTTCCCTTTTTACAGTAAGCCATTATTACATCCCAGGCTTTTCTTATGACAAAAATATTAATAATCCTCTATGCATTTCTTAGTACTTTTGTTTTGAGCCATTCAGAATGCTGGCACACAATCCCTGCATCTGGGAAGACAGCCATGCAATCTGAGAGCCAGTGTGTAGGTTGATTGAGGCGATGGACTTGAATGGGCTTGCTCTTGGTCAGAAACTGAATCATAAAATGTACTCTGGAGACTGGGCGAACTCTATTTCTCATATTATTTACAATGCTATATTACCTTAGGGGTGCAAAGTTTTGAAAACTTTAGGATCCTCATCTTAGCCTTAAAGCAGATGTTCTTAACCTTGGGTCTATGAACTTTTAAAAAAAATTTTGATAAGTGTTTCAATATAATAGGTTTCTTTTGTAGCCCTATGTATTTTATTTTATGCATTTAAAAACAGTATTTTGAGAAGGGATCCATAAATTTCATCTGGCTGCCAAAGGTACCCAGGACACACACAAGGTTAAGAATCCCTGAGTTAGAGAAAAGAGGGCTAGGCTTATTGTTACGAGAGACCTGGTTTTAGGTGCTGCCTCTGACAGCTGGCAGATTCAAGGCAAGCAGCTTAGTGAGGCTAGGTTTCTAAGCATTACTAACCTCACAGAGTTGTAGATCACATGACTAGATGTGTATTTTTTTAATTTGTAAATTTTTATTTTATTTTAAACTTAAATACAAAATAAGAAAAGAAAAAAGAAACAAACTTAAAAGATGTGCACCTTTTAAGGAATACCTGTAATAGAATCCACAAGATAAGAAGACAGAACCCCAGAAGGTAAAAACCCCAATAATTAACACCAGAGAACTTTAGGACAAAAAGATTTCATTTAGCATCTATGTCCCCAACCAACTCCATATGCTTAATATAGTACAGATGGTCTTAGAGTCATACGGACTCAAGGTTAAGCTATTGGGACCCCAAATGTACCTGTACCTGCCAAAGACAGAAAACACTGCTTTTATCTATCCATGTGAAATAAAAATGAAAAGAATGGACTAGAGGAGGGGAAAGGAGAAAGATGCAGACAGGGTGGAAGATGAATCCAGCACTATGAGCTGAGAGAAACATTCATTGACTATGAGGAAAAAGGGACTGGAAATTCGGTTAGGAATTGTTCTCTTTCCCAAAAATGTATTCAAGGCAGGAAGCTGGGCCTGCTCAATTCCAGAAACTGTCTTTTAAAGTGAGGAGACTGAGGGGCCCAGTAATACAGCCTCAGTAAGCTGTGCAGCCATGGAAAGGAGAGCAACCAAAGAGTGAGGAAGATTCCTGAATCTGGGAATACCAGAGAATGGCTGAAACACCAAAACACTGAGAAAGGAAGTCTGAACAAAAGTCTAGTGAATAAGCAAATAAAGAAGCAGATAGGATATTAGAAACAGAAAGAAGAATTAATAAAGCTTCAAAGAAAAACCTAAGATCTTTTAAGATGGAGTGGAGGAAAGTGAACCAGGATAGCGCCAAGGAAAACTATGGTCCTGGAGACTACTAAGAGATCATGGAACAACGCTAAGCAATTCTAGAATAATTCAAAAAAGAAGAAGTCTTAAAAATGTGAAGTTAGGAATGATTTTAGGTCAGAAATCTGAGCTCTTGATGCAGATTTAAAAAACATGAACAATAGGATAGGGAAAATTGGATACATAATAGAGGCTCTCCCCAAAGAATTAGAGGCTCTAAGAAAGAGAGAGAGAGCTGAGGGAAAAAACAGATTTGAAACACAAAAATACTGAAGTAGAAGAAATATTGATAAAAGAGAAGTAAAAGGCAATAGCTTTTTAAAAAAAATACGTGAATTTTACAACGTGGAAGTCAAAGCAACTGACGCCAAAGAAAAGATTCTCAGAGACAACTTAAGAATTACAGGCCTCCCAGAAGAAAGCAGCAAAGTAAAAGCAAACCAAAAATCAAATACTAGCTTTCAGGAAATAATTCAAGAGCTTCTGAATACAGAAATGCTTTGTTGTTTGAAAGAAATCACATCTCACTATTAGGAAAAATGACACCAACAAATATTTCAAATGTTTCATGTCATTTTTTATGTGATTCCAATTTTAAGACATCTAGTGGTTAAATATAGCAATTTCAATTATAAACTAAAAAATTTGCAAGTACCCAGGAGAAAGACTTTTGAATGTTAAGAAAAAGGCTTTCTAAAGGACTAAGTAAATTTACTTGCCTAGGGAGAAAAAACCCATTATGTGTCAGAGGCAGTACTTCTTGATTCTGAAGCCAGGAGATCCACTATACATGTATATGCTTTATAATTAAGTAAATAGCACCCAGTGCATGTTAAGTGGCCTTTACTTTTAAATAGGTAAGTTCCATCAATGCATATTGTCATCACATCTGTCACTGATTGTCTTCAAGAACTTCCTGGAATATTTTGTGGCTAATTGTGACCCAAGGTCACATATCCAATATGATTAGAGTTTAACAACTCTAATCATATTAACATATTAATCATAACTTAACAGGAGGGTCTGGCCCAAGTCAACACCCTGTTATTTCAAGTGCAATGTTGGGAGGAAATGAGGCACTCGCAGACTATCCAATAGTTAGAGAAAGGAGGCTTACTTAGCCATAGCATGTAATCGATAATCAACAAGGCACTTAGCTTTGGTAAACAACTTTGTCTCCACATGGAAATGAACCTGGTCATCAGGGAAAGCAGGTTGTGGTAATTCTTAAGATATATGCCAGATTTGAAGGTCCCTGACCATGCATTCATTGATGGACCTTTTTATCTTCTTAGGTGACCAGGAAGTCACATCAATATGGTTGTGTTCAGTCATTTTCACTTATGCCCGAATGTTCTCATTTGGAGTTTTCTTGGTAAAGAAACTGGAGTGGTTTGATATTTCCTTCTCCAGCTCATTTTACAAATCAGGAAACTGAGGCAAATAGAGTTAAGTGACTTGCTCAGGGCCACACAGTAAGTGTCTGAAGTTAGATTTGAACTCAAGAAGATAAATGTTTTTGACTCTAGGCCAGGCACTCTATTCACTTTGATACCTAGCTGCCCATCATCAATATGGTTAGAGGCTACTAGGAAGTTATATCAAGGGACATGAAGCTTGATATTTGGTGTCTCTCCGTAGCTACTTAAGTTCCAGGAATAACTTTGTTGCCTTTTAGGGAAAAATTAGCCTAACCCATATTACAGAGGAAGACAGAAACCCTGGTAGATAGCAGAGACTACAAGGTGAGACTTGGAACCAGGTTCTCCTAACTCCAAGGCCACTAAAAGCTACCTTTTATGTGTTATGTAATTAGGGTTAAAAATTGTTCTAAAATTTCAGTCAGGACACATCCTGGAATCAATCCAGCAACATTTTTTTCTCAGGCCTTATGTTGGATATCTGGGCTCTGCATTGTGGAAACTGATCATGAGACTCTTAAAAGAGGAATGGATATTAGGGCTAGAGATAATGTTAGCATTGCTCATTCTGAATCAGTAATGATCCTATATCGTTATTAACTTTTTATTACTAATTTTGACTAGTTTTCTATGAAAAATCCAATTACCATTAACTCTCAGATTTTTTTTTCATAAAGCCAAGGAGTTTTAACTATAAATTAATGTAAAGACATTTCTTTTTTTTCTCTCTCTCCTTTTCTTTCTTGTATAATGCCCACGTAATGGGAACAATTGATTTTCACTCAATTCATTTAATGTTTTGGTATCTTGAGTGCATTTGGTTTTACATATGTGTTCATTCTTATTGATCAATTTCTAGGAGTCAAAGAAAATGTTGGCCCTGGGGATAACAGGTCCTGAGGGCCATGAGATGTGTCGTCCAGAGGCCATAGAAGCAGAAGCCACTCTGAGAGCCATCACCATAGCTAATGCTGTGAGCTGCCCACTCTATGTTGTCCATGTGATGAGCAAGTCCTCAGCTAAGATAATAGCTAATGCAAGGAGAGAAGGTACCATCCTTATTTCAAACTCAAATTTCAATTCGAATTGAATTTCAGATTCAGTCGAGAAGCTTTAAAGTTGATGTCTAAATACCACTTTAAGACTCGTGAAACATTTGACATTCATCATCTCATTTGGTCATTATGATAGCCCCATGGACTGAGTATACCAGGCTTATTCCTATTTTACAAATCAAGACACTGAGGCTAAAAGAGATGAAATAATCTGTCAAAGGTCACATTACTGGCAATCAATCAACAAACATTTTTTAAAGCACTTACTGTGTTCTAGGCACTGTGCTAAGCCCTGGGGATATAAAGAAAAATTGAAAAGAGTCCCTACCCTCAGGGAGCTTACATTCTAATGGGGGAGACCACACACGTATAAATAGGTATGTATAGGATACCTACAGAGTAGATGGAAGATAACTTTATTAATTTATTTTGATTTGTCAACAATCACTTCCATAAGCTTTTGAGTTTTAAATTTTTCTTCTCCTCCTTCTCCCCAAGACAGGGCTATATAGGCTATCCATAGACATTCCTAAGATAACTTTAGAGGGATAGGCTCTAGCAACTAGGGGTTGGCCAGGAAAGAGCTCTTGTAGAAGGTGGCACTTGATATGAGTCCTGACAGAGGTCAGGAGTTGAAGATGAGAAAGGAAGGGCATTTAGGTATGAGGGGGCAGAGAGTGGAGAAGGAAGGTTTTGTGTGAGGAACAGCAAGGCCTGTATGATTCGACTGTACAATGCATGGAAAGGGAGTAATATGTAGGAAGACTACACGCATAAAATCAGACCAAGTTATGAAGGGCTTTTAAGGCCAAACAGAGGAGTTTTTATTTGATCTCAGACATAATAGAAGTCCCTGGAGTTTATTGAGTAGGGAAAGATTTGGTCAGATCTGTGCCTTAGGAAAATCACTTGGCAACTCTGTAGAGTGGTGTGGTGAAGAGATCTGAGGCAAGGGGACCAATTAATTAGCAAGATAGGGCAATAATCTAGGTGAGAGTGATGAGTACTTGGGCTAGGGTGATGAAACGTGAGGGGAGAGAAGGTGACCAGTGTGGGAGCTGTGGGGGTAGAAATGATAAAGAAAATGATTGATTAGGTATGCAAGGTGAGTGATTAGGTATGTAGGGTGTGGGAGGGGTTGAGAACGACATTAATTTATCAGCAAAAGTAGTTCCTTCACTGACATAGATTGTAGCCTCCATGGAGATCGGTGGTGACCCAGATTTTTTTGAGCATTCCCGTGGCTTTAAATGTTTGTCCTTTAAAGGCTTTCACTACCTAGCCTAAACCTACGTCTCATACACTTTACTGTCCAGCCACATTGGCTTTCTTCCTGTTCTTTAGGCGTGTGACATTGTGCCTTCTATCAATCACATTGTCAACAAGCATTTATTAAGTGTTTACTATGTGCCAGACATTCTGCTGGATGCTGAGGCTATAAACACAAAGAATAAAATAATCCCTTATCTCGATGAACTGACATTCTCCCAAGCCTTTGAGCCAGTGATCCCTCACAAATAATAACAATAACAACAACAATAGCTAACATACAGCAATTTAACATTTGCAGAGCATTTTACATATGTTGTTTCATTTCATTTTCACAATAGCTCTGTCCCAGGGTAGGTGCTATTATTATCCCCATTTTACACATAATGAAACTGAGACTGAGGGAGGCTAAGCAATATGCCCAGGGACATAACAGCTAATACATTAGCAGGATTCAAACTCAGGACCCTGCTTCCCAAGTCCAGCACTCTTGATCTCTGCTAGAGTTTGTGCCCTGCAGCTGTAGCCTTTGAGAGCTCTAAGCCAAAGCCAAACCTGAGGGGGCTGGGGAATGGTAATAATGGTTGTCTAAACTAGTGTCTCTTGATTTCCAAAAACACATAGAACTCATCTCCTAACAGAGAGGTGATAGAATTGGAGTGCTGAATGAGACATAAGATTTTTGGACATGCCCAAAGGGGCAATTTGCTTTGCTTGACTATATGCATGCGTGTTATAGGGGCTTTGTTTTTCTTTTCTTTTTCCCAGTGAGGGAGAGTGGAAAAAGTCAATTTTTATTAAGTAAAAAAAATAAAAATTTAAAATATTAGCTTTGTTTTTTTTATTGAAAGGGGACAATAGGGAAGCTCAAACAAAGGGACTTTTTATTCTTCATTTCATCTTGCCAGAGTTTTATTTTAAGAGTATGTGCCATGCTATCCACAGGGAAAACAATGCCTCTCTAAAAACAATCTTTGTGGTTACCATGTTCCCATCAGTAGCACTTGGTGTTTTCAGATTTTTAATGGATTAAAGAGACTCTTTTTTCAGGGTCTGCTTTTTAGAATTGTAGGGTAGAATTTTTCCACCAGATGGCTCTGTTGCCAGCATTATAGAATCAGTCATTCTATAATTACTTACCTTTGCAAGTCATGTACCATATACCACCCTCTGTCAGGTCCACAATGTCAGAATATCATTTAAAAAACAGTAAAATCAGCAGAAATGTCCAGAGTTAACCCACCGCAAGCTGAGGTTTTGACAATTCTGTCAGAAAGCTGTTTCTTGATCTCTTTTTTCCCCCTCCCCAAAATTCCATTCAGAGTCTAACAGAAGTCCAAGAAAGGTTTCTAGAATATAGCACAAAGGCTGGAAAATTATTAAACCTAAACATGGACCATTAAAAATGTTCCCCCAAAATAGAAGGTAGCTGTAGTTAGGTAGCAGGTGCTGAGTCAGGCTAATGTCTGATTTAGATGCAATGCGGGGGCGGGGGTGTGAGGCCATATAAAGCATTTTTAAGGAATCACTGATAATACTTCAAATGATACAGTCTAACTCTTTGCTAATTGGAAATAACAGCAGTAGACCTATAGCTTCTCCAAATTTCTCTATTTTTTGTTGAGGTTATCATCACCCAGTCATCCAAGTTCATAACCTCAGTTATCCTTGACTCTTTACTCTCCCTCACCCCAGTTTCATCCATTTGGTTGCCAAGTCTTGCCAATTCTACCTCCTCAACATCTCTCTGTCTGTGCCCATGTCCACTCACTCAAGGCCACCCTTGTTCATGCCCTTATCAATCACTTCTTTCTTGGACTAGTATGATAGCACCTTATCTGGTCTCCACTTCCAATTTCTTCCCCTCCAATTCATGCACCACGTGGCTGACAAAATATTCTTTTTAAGGCTTAAGTATGTACGTGTCACTTTCCTGTTTGAAATTTTTCATTGGTTTCCTATTACCTATAGGAAAGAAAAAAAATAACCAAATAATCTCCTTAACCAGACATTTAATACCTCCCACAAGCTGATTTATATAGCCTTAGTTCATACAATTCCCTTTTGTGAACTCTATCCACATTCTAGCTGTTCCCCAAATTCAGCATGCTCTCTTCCCTTTGTGCATGTGTATAAGCCATCCAACCCTCTCCTCCCAAGATGTTAAAAGAAGGTACTTACTCCATCCTTATCTCTGTCTCTCTGGATCCTTGGTTTGTTTCAAGGCTTAGCTCAGGCACCACCTCCTCCAGGAAGTCTTTGATAATTGCCCCCAGTGGTGTGTCCTTTTCCTCCACCGTTTTCCTTGTTTTTGTTTCCTGTCCTTTGAGCATACCAGATGTTTAATAGATATTTGTTAAATTGGGTAAACTTGCTATGGGGCAATCAGAGGTACCCCATTTCCAGTTCATTTTGAGGTAAGACAGACCAAGGGCCTGAAAAGGGCAGAAGGAGAGGACTGAAAATTATTTGAGGTTCTCGTCATATAGTCACTGCAGAGGGTGTTATCTTTGTGGTACAGTGGATAGAGAGCTAGATTTAAAGTCAGGATAGACCTCACTTCAAATCTTCCCTTAGACATGTACTAGCTGTGTGCCCCTGCATTAGTCATTTAATCTCTCCCAGCTTCTATTTCCTTCCATGGGGAAAACTAGGTGGCTCAGTGGAGAGAGCTCTGGGCTAGAAACCAGGAAGACTTGAATTCAAATTTGGACTCAGACACTTCCAAGCTGTGTTGCCTCAGTTACCTCAATTGTAAGATGAGAATAATAATACCGCACCCTCAGGGTTGTTGTCATGATCAAAATAGATAATATTTGTAAAGTGCATAGTATAGTGCCTGGCACACAGTAGGTGCTCACTGTATGCTTATTTCCTGCTTCCCCTCCCTCCCTCACAGGATTGTTGGAAGGATGAAATAAGATAATCTATGTAAAGGGTTTTTTGTTTTGTTCTGTTTTTGCAAACCTTTAAGCATTTTATAAGTGCTAAATGATAGCTATGTGGGTACAGTGTGGAAAGGCATGTTGGACAAAACATTAACTCATTTTGGCCACATTCATTGTCCCAGATGACAGGTCATCTTAACATTCTCTCTGAATCTGTGGCACGATGATACATATTTATGAATAGTCTTCTCATTCAGAGAGGGAACAGCTTAGCCTGAAAAATCAGAACAAGAACTTTGTCAGCCCACAAACATTTTCACCCACTCATCTTCCCTCCTAAGAGGCACAAAGGATATAAAATAAATGTCAGTGGTTTTCTTTCCTCCTTGTCTAACATAAATGGTTACTCAGCCTGAGTGTGTGGCTGAATGTCTATTTGCAACCTTGCAAGGAGAGCCGGGTAAGTTCAAGGTGGAATTGGCCAGCAGTGCCGAGAAAACCTTGTCTGAGAGGGTATTCTGGTCTGTTTCTTTTTGCTGGTACCTCTGTTATTTTAGCTTTAAACTGGAGCAGAGAGAGGAAAATGTGAATGAGACTGTTGACTGTAATCCATCAAATGCTGCTGCTCCAATTTGCCCCTTTGGGGGTCTGACAGGAAGTAGCATTTTTCTGTTTTGTGCCTGACCCTGAAATCGCAACAAGAAGAAGAATCATATCTTGTCTATTTCCCACATCAAAGAGGGTTGGGCATAACCCTCCCAAAGAAAACAATTTAAAAAGTGGAAGGGGGGCTGTCTTGGCAGGCAGTGGGTGCCCTCTGATTGAATGTCCTCAATC